CATAAGCCCTGAGCTTATCAGTTGCCACAGCACTGAGTTATTTGAAACAGCAGATGAAGGAGAAAGAAGGCAGTTTTATAATATGATAAAAACAAATAGTAAAGAGAAGATACTCTTTAAATAGTTTCCAAGGTAACAGTTTATGGACTTGGAATCTATAAATAGGGGTATTAAGGAATCTAAGCTCAAGAAAGAAAAGAGAAATTAATGTTAACACTTCAGAAAAATGAATGTAAATCAAATGAAAAAAATTAAATCTGCTAGAAACAGAAAAAAAGTTATAGAAATTGTATTGATGTTGATTACACATATATATTATACATGTTACAAATCTATAATTACTAGAGTCTAAAAATGAAGATATTAAAATATTAATTCATGAGTTTAGATTTCTATAAATTGATTAATATAGTTTAATATAACTATGGTTACTTGTCTATTTTATCATCTTAATTAGTATACATCTAATTAATTATAATATGGGAAGCTAAGAGTGTTTAATAGGATATCATAGGCTTAGGATATATTTAATTCATCCTACATATTTAAAGTAAATATCATAAACCTAGTAAGAATTGAACAGGCAGTAGTTAAATTTTCATTTCTCTTACAGAAAGCAAACTTACTATTAAAAATGATCAAAGATGTAACTGCATTATGCTTGCAAATGAGACATGACAGAAATTACTAAAGCAAAACTATGCAATTACTTATGAAATTAATAAAGGATTACCACCTCTTTGTTTTTGTTTTGTTTGCACACTATTAGAATTTATTTGCTACGATTCTCAAGGATCAACCTAAAACTTAGCCACAAGTGCTTTTTCATTAATGTCTTCCACACAATAAATTGTTCCCAAAAAATCGTATAAAGGGAATGATAATATTCATCTCTTGTAGGGATATGTAGACTAAGTTTCTTTTTTATTTATTTATTTTGTAGACAAGGTCTTGGTCTGTCACCCAGGCTGAAGTGCAGTGGTCTGATCGTAGCTCACTGCAAATTTGAACTCCTGGGCCCAAGCAATCCTCCTGCCCTAGCCTTCCAAGTAGCTAAGACTACAGCTAAATACCAGAGCCAGCTTTTTAAATTTATTTAGTATAGCTGGAGTCTCATTACATTGTCCAGGCTGATCTTGAATACCTAGCCTCAAACAATCCTCCTATCTTTGCCTCTCAAAGTACTGGGATTACAGATGTGAACCACTGTGCCTGGCCAGTTTTTTAACTAAGATTAGCTTTTAAAGGTTTTTCATCTTTGTAATGAACTTCTGTTTTTGAAAGATTCACTTGGTTAACCAATAAGTGCTGGAGAGTGGTTTAGGCATAAACTGTAATAGAATGAAGTTTTACTAATGGTCTGGTGCAATACCATAATCAGGTCTAGACATAATATTTTTCCACAGTTTCATCAGCTCATCCAAGGAAGTGAAGTACCAATGCATTAAAACAAAACTGAAAATATGAGTTCTTATGCTTTTATTTGAAAAAGCAAATAAATCTCTGTATTTTTCATTGTGATATCATTTAAATGCTTTCATCTCTTTATGACTGTCAAAGCTAGTGCAATGACAAAAGGCAGCTGTCAAGGTCAAACTATGCAGAAGAAAATAGGAAAACTGAGTAATGTGTGGGTAGCTCAGGTAAAATAACTAGTAAAATCACACTACCACATTCACTAATGGCTGTATTACTTTTCCCTTTTTGAATGTGAAGTATAACTCTCTCACATACATGAAATATATTGAATGTAAAATTAAAAGAATAATTTAAGAATAAATCTCCATTATTCATAATTCTAAATTATATATTCCTTTGTTACTTGAAGAAATAAAAAATAAGTCTTCATTTTGGGGATTTATCATTATAACCCACTAAAATTAAATAATCATATTTATGAGTACTCTGAAAGATTCAAATGGCATTTAAATCATATGATGAGTGCATCTAGTTCAATTTAATTGCTAATTTGCAAGAGATTGAAATCCAGACATTGAGAAAAAAGTACATAAATTCATATTCAAATGTAGTTTCTCATAGTATAAAATGCATATGGCATAAACTTTATAAGGGAAACACTTGTTTAATAGCATCAAGACAAAATATGCAATCGCTTTTACAATATATTATGTTACATTATGTTTTCTCTTTTTAGAGAGGAAATATATGGCATAATTACATAATGAGGCAAAAATATTACATATACACAAAATTTTATATAAATTAATTTCCAAACATGTTTACTTTAACATTGACTTCCATTCACCCATTTTCTCTATTTTATTATCACTTTCTTTCTTAATTTTCCACATCCTTCTACTACAATGTATACTCTCTGCATCTATTCTAAGAACCTTCTTTTAAGACTATTCTGGATTTATACCTTCACATTTTACCCCACCCTTGACTTCTATTACTAAGGGCTAAGAGTATTACATGTATTTATAATCCCAGAGTTTGTCTGGTAAGGATGAGCCTCATTTATGGACAAATTGTGCTTCACTAAGCAAAGTTGACACACAATGTAATCCAAATAGGGTCCCAAACTTGCAGGGGTATATCAGAAGGCAAAAGTTCTTCAAATCAGTGGGAGACTTTATGCCCTACATTCAAGAAGGATGCCAAAAGCCAGAATGTAACCAGGGAAGATAAGAAACTATTTATCTAGGTTGATAAAAGGAGTTGGAATTTTATCATGTTATAAGACCTAGTATTGAGGTGCATGATGGCTTCTGGGATAAATGTTCTAGTTAGAAAGAATAAACAAAGTTACCTTTAATGATGTAACAACATCTAGCCTAGAATGCAATACAAAAATACCCTTTAAGGACAAAATATAATTTATAGAAGTGTTTTCTTTGGCCTGCTTTTTTTTCATTGAATTTTAATGCTTGAAGGAATGCTATGAAGTCTTAAATTTACTTCAGTTGTGCCACTACTGATTGTCCATGGCTGACACAATCAACTTCACTTGCTTATTATCTGACTATTCACTGAGTTTAGTTATGTCTAATTTATAGCAATATATTTTCCACTGTACTCTGTGAAGCCTTGGGTTTAACAGAGAAGTCTCTGGAGCTCCCACCAGAGGGGAAGAAGGAGGAGATCATGGGGCACTGAAGAACTCAGCTTATATTCATTGTATATATAGGCTGTGTATTATTTTATTTGAAAAAGAGTACATTGCTTCTTTAAAGAAAAAAATATGTTTTACAATTGCTGTGCTAAAATGTAGTTAAATTTCATTATTGGGGTCTGACATAGGGTTCATCTTCCTGAAAAAAATGTTATGAAAAGAACATTTTTACTTGCATGACTAATTCTCTTTGGATAGATTCTGAAAAAAAGTAGCCTTTTACTGACTTCCTTTAAATAGAAGATGCTGTTGAAGTTGAAAATGTGTGTGTGTGTGTGTGTGTGTGTGTGTGTGTGTGTGTGTGTGTGTGTTTTAATATGTATTCTGCATGTATAAGCCACAAATATATCTGATTCTACTAGATTAACTGTTTTGGTTTAATTCTTTCTAAGTAACTGCTGAGGAATATTTCAGAACTGAAAGGAAACTTAGATGTTCAGTGGTGCCCAACAAGTACAAATAAACTTAATTAAGTTCTAGTCAAGGGGGATGTTAATAACGATAAAATTTTTTGTGGAACAATTCTTTGTCAGGAACTTTTTTATACACAAGCAAGGTAGTTAAGGGTTCCTGAGGGGGACTGAAAAACAATCTCATATCCTACATTTTCCGATGACCTTTCTACTGGAGATGTTAAAACAGTCCAGTTTAGAATCCCAGGTTATCATTTAAAATTGAAAATGGCCAAAGCTTTAGGTTCAAAGTGTTGATCTTTTCCATTAAATAAGCACCTATCAGGTAATTCATAACTTAATAAGTGAATATTTTCAGAGTATTTAGTAATTTTACCCATTTGACATGTGAATATTAAAACTAACTTATTACTGGTTACTTTCATGTAGCTGTAGTATATGTAGAACACCTAAGTTTTATTGAAAGCCTGGCTTTGTTCTGTGAAATTATTTAATTTGCTTTTTTTTTCCAAAATAAGTGGCAATGATGTTTATGCTATAAGCATCTATTTTCCTACCTTTGCTATAAGCAAACATATTTTCCAATTTTTCAAAAAATATATGGTGATTCTCAAATTTCTTTCCCAAAAATAAAGACCAGTATATAAATTTTAAGAATTTAAAGTCTAAGGTGTCCAAAAAGTCAACATAACTAGGTTAAGAAATTATAAATACATAGTTACAGTACATTCCTAGGACAGCCTTATTCAAACATAATGCATTTTCTTTGAGATTAACAGGAAATTGTAGATATTTCAGGTGAGAAAAGTTAAAATCTCTGTTTTGTACATACCTTATATGAAATGTAAGAGGGATTACAAGTAAATATTCCATTAAACAAAATATTTTTATCATTAAGTTATCTATTTACTATCTTAGATAATGATATATGCCAGTGGGTCATTCAACATTAGAAATTCAATAAAACACCAGGATACTTACTACTGGATTTATAAAATAGAAAAAAACTCTAGGTTTACAGTTATATTAAACTTTTGGTGGATGCCCTAAAAGATGGTGACATTCACCAATGTGAATTAAAAAACAGTGATTAGAGACATTGTGGCAATACTCTCCTTGCATTACACACAGACGTGTCTACCCAAGATTGAGACAGCAGAATTAAGAAGTAAGCCCTTAAAATAACATGCAAAAACAATCATCATTTTCTCTAACTAACTTCATTTTGCTCTGCAATTTTTTATTTCCAATGATAATGGGGAATATAGAGAATTTGAAAGCAGGGATAGAAAACCAATAAAAGGCCAAGTTTTGTGGAGTAGACTTGCCAAGTTTATTATCTTCCAATTTAAAACTGTCAGTTTATTGCATATATTAAATAGATTGAAAGTTCAAGCTCCCTGATATCCAGGTGGCCATTTATTGTCAAAATTGATGGTTTTGCTAAAATGAAGACATTACTTGATTTATAGCAGGTGAAAATTAGGAAAAATGAACATGTGGATTCCATCTTTTAGGTGTGATTTTCCACTCTAAGGGAACTTCCCTGTTTCTCCCTTTTCCAAATCTAGAATCTGAGTATAGAAAGAAGCATATATACCTTTGTGGAAGTAAAGCGAGGGGCTTCTGGTTGGGTTTCCATGCTGTCTCTGAGTTCTTACTTGCTACAAATGAGATGTCATTCATCCTGTAAGGTAACGGCACCTGAGGGTTTATGTAAGAGGTGCCATGTGGGTCTGTTGAAATATTTTGCTGTAGTCTACCCTTTTGTCTAATCCAGGCACCTTTTGTCTCAGCTGTGGCACTGAAGAAATTCTGAATTCTTGTACACACCAAAAACAGGTGATAGTAGCAGTTAATTCTGAGGAAATAGATGTGGTCTTTTAAATTCAGTTTTTCTCTTCTTCTTCTTTTAAGCTTCACCACCCAGGACCAGAAAGACTTTCCCCATTTCTGCCTTTTAAATTACACCCATGATTCACATAAAACTGAATAAGATAAGCTACTCTTCAGCTTCTTAAATGGATGATCATTCAGTCTACTGCCCCAAATTAAAACTGAGCAACTTAACTACCATATATGCATGGTAGAGCGACCATATATGCAAACAATACAGAGTTGTCAATTAACTCCATGAAAGTTTATTTTTACCAGAAAATTATATTTCTGAAGAGACCATTCAGGTAATAAAGTAATTAGAGAAAGGCATGGGAGACGGACATGAAAATTATAGTATTTGCATTCTGAAAGGAAGAGACTACACTCAAGACATCTGCAACCACCAAAGCTAAGGATTAAAAAGAACACCCACTTTGCTAAGTTTTATGACAAATTGATATAAGAAGATTTCCCTAGCTCCACCACAAATTGTAAGATTCTAGTATCATTGTATTCTTTATATTTGGTTTGAAATAGCAAATGTGAAAATATAGTCCCTGGCAAGGACTAAATGTTCAAAAACCGTTTGTTTTTATATTTTCTGCATATTTTGCCTGCCATGTATCTAACCACCTATGTATCCATCTAACTATTCTACTTTTGAATTTCTTTCTCATTTTGTCTAACCATGTACTTCTATCTTCCATTTGCTCAAATATGAAAATCAAGGAAAGGTGGCAAAATGGAACTTGGATCACTGTTTCATATAATAAAATAGGTGAAATTCTGTTGCCTGGGACTATGCCTTAAAAAAAGCTGCCCAAGTAGGGATCCAAGAAAACAGAAAGATAGTTGACTGGCCAGAAACTAATCCAAGTTGCCTGTTCTAAATTTTTTTTAATAAAGAAAAGGAAAAAATAAGAGGGTAATGGTTAATTTGTTACTTCAGCATTTATATTTTTAAGAAATATAATTTTTATTATTTATGCTGTTTATTTTCTTATAACTAATACAAATGTTTTAAATGACTCCACATGGCATTATAACTGTTTCATAAATCCATGATTAAGTTGTATTAGAAACTTGAAAGATCTTATTAGATACTTAGAAATCCAAATGAGGCAAATCTAGAAATCCTGATGTTATACAGGTATAGATATATCCTTAAAAAGATCTGAGCCAAGCAATGTGCATACTTTGGTGGCACATAGTAATGAAATAGGACATATTATTGATTTATTAATAGTTTAAAGACTGTTGGATGTACAAATCTATTATAAAACAAGAGCAAAGTTTTTAAAAACTCTTGAATTCGCCATACTACTGCTCTTATATTCCCTCACCTGCTTTTCAAATTCTTCTGACACTAACATAAATTACTTTATAAATCTAACAAACTCCAATTCTACTGAGGGATATCTAAAACATTACTTCCCTCAAAAAGAGGTCCCCACCCCCTTCTCTCAGACTCAAGAAAAGCAGTTGGAAAAGTAAAATGGTAAAACATTGTTTCTTCATCCCACTGGAAGGAATCATTTGTACTTTTCAAATTCTCTTTAAAGATTTCAAAAAGTGTTTGCTCTTTCAACAGCCTCAGAAGCTCTGTGTATTGGGAGGGTGTAGGACATAATAGGGAGTGGAAGAGCATTTTGTAGAATGTATGCCTCAGTTGCTTATCCATTCATTTCCTTCTGCCTGACATGTTTCCCCACCCCCTCACCAGCATCCTTTCAAAAAAAATGTTAAGTGTCACTTCTTCAAAGAAATCTCTCTGACAACTGAAACAAATCTAGGCCTCCAGTTACATGCTTTCCTGCCAAACGCACTTTTCCTCCACAGAAATCACCCCAGCTTTAATTGGTCATCATTTGTGAAATAACTGGCTCTGTTTCTTTCCCATATCATACTCTTGGCTGCAGCAGGAGGGCAGAGACTAAGTGCTCACTACTGCACCTGACGCTTAGTAGTAGGTCAATGAGTACTGATGAGTAAATAAAAAGAGGGTAAAATATTCATGGGGTTAACATAGACAAGATGTCTAATGTGGACAAATTACACTTTTTCGTGTCCCTCCTTCACCAGGTGAAGGGGGAGTGTGTGCTAGAAGAACCAGCTTCACCAATAGACTACTAAGAGTTCTTGCGTGGAGTATAAGCACATTCCTCCCACAGCAATCCAAAGTGAACCCTGTACAACCACACCTCCATCAAGAGGGATTAAGACAGAGCCATTTCTTTGTACCCGCCTCTGCTTATATTCCCACACTCACAAGTTTTCCAGGGTGCACTCTGGCATTCAGCAAATGTCCTTTCATGCTCAGTCTCTTATGCGAACATTCTACTCGCCTTCCACATTTAACAGATAGCTCCTGAAGATGGTGCTTCCTCCACCATTCTTAGCAGTGGTAGTTATTTATTCCAATATCATGGGATACTGACTCTCTTTTTCTGTCATTGCCCTTTTCACACCATTTTTCTCTACTCATCTCTAAACTCTAACACGCTTTAAAGTCTCAAAATCTCAAGATGATAAGCAACTTCAGTAAAGTCTCAAGATACAAAATCAATGTGCAAAAATCACAATCATTCCTATACAACAAAAATATTCAAACAGAAAGCCAAATGAGGAACAAACTTCCATTCACAGTGGCTACAAAGAGAATAAAATACATAGAAATACAACTAACGAGGGATTTGATAGACCTCTTCAAGGAGAACTACAAACTACTGCTCAAGGAACTAAGAGAGGACACAAACATAGAAAAATACTCCATGCTCATGGTTAGGAAGAATCAATATTGTGAAAATGGCCAAACTGCCCAAAGTAATTTTTTGATTCAAGGCTATTCCCATCAAGCTACCACTGACCTTCTTCACAGAACTGGAGAAAACCACCTTAAACTTCAAATGGAACCAAAAAGAGACTGCATAGCCAAGACAGTCCTAAGCAAAAAGAACAAAGCTGGAGGCATCACACTACCTGACTTCAAACTACACCACAAGGCTACAGTAATCAAAACAGCATAGTACTGGTACCAAAACAGAGATCTACAACAATGGAAAAGAACAGAGGCCTCAAAAGTAATGCCACACATCTACAACGATCTGATCTTTGACAAACCTCACAAAAACAAGCAACAGGGAAAGGATTCCCTGTTTAATACATGGTGTTGGGAAACTGGCTAGTCAAGTGCATAAAGCTGAAACTGGACCCCTTCCTTACACCTTACACAAAATTAAACTCAAGATGGATTAAAGATTTAAACATAAGACCTAACACCATAAAAACCCTAGAAGAAAACGTAAGCAATACAACTGAGGACATAGGCATAGGCAAGGACTTCCTGACTAAAACACCAAAAGCAATGGCAATAAAAGCCAAAATAGACATATGGGATCTAATTAAACTCCAGAGCTTCTGCTGAGCAAAAAAAAAACAATCACTAGCATGAACCAGCAACCAACAGAATGGGAGAAAATTTTTGTAAGCTACCCATCTGACAAAGGGCTAGTATCGAGAATCTACAAATAACCAAAACAAATTTACAAGAAAAAAACAAGCAAACCCATTCAAAAGTGAGCAAAGGATATAAACAGGCACTTTTCAAAAGAAGACATTTATTCGGCCAACAAATATATGAAAAAATGCTCATCATCACTGGTCAAATCAAAACCACACTAGATACTGTCTCACGCCATTTAAAATGGCAATCATTAAAAAATCTGGAGATGCTGGAGAGGTTGTGGAGAAATAGGGATGCTTTTACACTGTTGGTGGGAGTGTAAATTAGTTCAACCATTGTGGAAGACAGTGTGGAGATTCCTCAAGGATCTAGAAATAGAAATACCATTTGACCCAGCAATCCCATTACTGGGTATATACCTGAAGGATTATAAATTGTTCTTTTATGAAGACACATGCACATGTATGTTCATTGTGGCACTGTTTACAACAGCAAAGACTTGGAACCAACCCAAATGCCCATGAATGATAGACTGGATACAGAAAATGTGGCACATATACACTATGGAATACTATGTAGCCATAAAAAAGTTGAGTTCATGTCCTTTGCAGGGACATGGATGAATCTGGAAACCATCATTCTCTGCAAGCTAACACAAGAACAGAAAACCAAGTATCACATGTTCTCACTCATAAATGGGTGTTGAACAACAAGAACACATGGACACAGGAGGGGAATTCACACACTAGGGTCTGTTAGGGTTGGTGGGGTTACAGGAGGGATAGCAGGGGGTGGGGGGTTTGGAGAGGGATAACATTAGGTTAAATACCTATTGTAGGTGACGGAGGGATAGATGCAGCAAACCACCATGGCATGTGTCTACCTATGCAACAATCCTGCACGATCTGCACATGTACCCCAGAACTTAAAGCATGTATTTAAAAAAAATCACGTTACCAGATCATAGCCTAAGCATTGCCATGACTAAAAACTTCAACTCTTTCATAATCAGTTTCCTGTAGTTCACTCTCTGACTGCTACTTCCTATTTTTCCAACAATCTTTCAATTCTAAAACGTTCTTACTGTCGTCGCTTATCCTTTGTTTGCTATCATACTAACTGAATTTGGGAGCATAAAACTGACTTGTTCCTGTTTGTTTTTTACTAGGCAAAAAACTGTGTATATGACAACTGGATATACTAATTGGTTGACAGTAAGATATGTTATCCAAAACTGACCATGGAAAGTGGGGTATTGTGGCTCATGATTAATATAACATACGGAGATAGAAACAAAATAGCAGTTCAGAAATATCCATATTTCTGCCCTTAAGTAGTATTAGAAACTGGGGCAGAGGAGAGATTTAAAGGCAGCAGCTAATTCTGCAAAATAACTGTCATTTATTTATTGCTAGTAAATAATTACAGCTTTTCTATTAAATAGAAAACTGATCATTAGCAAATAATTCTAAATATTATGTACATAGCTTTAATAAAAGTGAGCTGATTATTATTTATAAGCCACTGACATTGTTTAATTCAACTACTTTTTCATAATATTTCAATGGTTGTTGGTATATCAGCAATTCTACCAGAAAAAAAAATACAACGGAGTTGGCTTTTATATTCTAACTTCCTTCTGTCAGGAACTGCCAGATTGCTTCAAATGTATGACACCAGTATTGAAGATATAATGATTATAAAGTGAGTAATGTTCAAGGGGAAAAAAGTAAGATGAATAGTACCCAACAGCTGCCAATCAGAATTAAATGATATGATGAGGTTACTGTCTGACAGTCAAGAAAAGGACAATTCAATAGCCATGATACTACTATATTTAGTCATTTCATAACAAATGACATTTTTAAAGTTCCAGATCATACATGGCAGAGATGCGGATATAGTGTTCTTAAACTCTTTATATAATTAGATATGGAAATGTATAATCAAGTGCATATAACAAATGTCAGTTCCCTGATGAAGAGACCCCTCCCCTGCCTTTAATCTTGAAACACCTGTGATACACAGACTTTCAACCCGTCAGATTTGATCCATAACACACTGACATCCAAGCCATACTCTGCATGAAGATCAGAAGCCACCTGGTAGCCAGGCTTATGGACTTAGTCTCCGACAATAAAATTATGTGGGGCTCAGAAAAAAAATGTCCTATTAGGCAGGAATGTAACTATCATTATTTTATTTTAAGATTTTTACATCCAGATTAGAATTTAGATCACTTTCTTTCTTCAACAAGTAAGCATATAAACTGCTGCATCTAATTCACAAGAATAACTTTGTTTGGTCCGTTTCAAGTATATTTGTCATATAGTCCACCTTCAGGAAAGTTTCTCGGAAAGCTTTATTTAGTAGGTGTCATTTTCTAAACAGAGTATTTCTAGGAAAGAAAGCAAAACAAACCAAATAAAATAGTGC